TTGACGGCTACATCAACCAGAAATGAACTGTTTAGGGGTAGGCTGAGTGCGCAAACTGTTTGAAACCGTCTGAGAACTGCTCACCTTCAAGCACTTCCGACCTCAATCCCATCGAACACGTCTGGGATGCTCTTGGCAGAAGTCTGCGCACTCTCCAGAGCCAACCACAGAATTTGCAAGATCTTGGCACCATTTTGCAGCAATAATGGCGTCGTCTTCCCAATCATGTGTTCACAAGCATCACAAGGTCCATGCGGAGGCGTTGTGTGGCAGTTGTCAACGCACATGGTGGCCATACACGCTACTGAACTTGTGTGCCATCAGATTCTCGTGCTTGGGACTTATGATTTAAACTGTTGATGTTATTACCGAATACCATAGGTGCTTGGAACAAATTATGGTTACCACCGTTAATTAAAATCCTTCTTTGGACATTAATGATTAAAAATTACCTTCTCTGATACATTTGTCCGTTGTTTATCATATATGGGATTACTTTTAAAAATGTGAAGTTTTTAATTTGACTCAGTATATATGGTTTATTGCTTCACAGATTCGGCATTAAGGGTGGTGTGTTCGGGGCACCAGAGGGATGTAAGGTCATTGCTGACGGATGTACTGTGTTGATGGTGAAAGCTGACGATGAAACGAAAGACTGCTTCTCTGGAAATACTCTAATAATAAATTAAAACTGTTTATTTTATTTGTTCAAATAATTTTTATTAATATTGGGCCACAAGAATGTATTATTTGTTCTTCATGATGTGGTCATAATCTTCTCACTTAGAACAGCCTGCCATTGTTTGACACTTAGTTACTGCCCTGTGCAGCGTTAAAGAACAAACCAAACATATGCACATGTAGAATTACATGTAGTTACACATGTGCAAAATAACTTACGTGTAAAATGATGCACATGTGACGGGGTATTATAATTTGGTGCAATGCGCTGAATGCAAATTTGAATCCAACAATGTCAAAGATAATGATCATTGTTTTTTGTAGGAGGGGAGGGAGACTGGGTTTATATGGAGACTGGATATATTAAAATGAAGACCACACACACACACATGCACGCACGCACGCACACACGCACGCACGCACACACACGTATATATATATTCTCCTTTCTGGATAAATTCAAAACGTCAACGCCACAGAATAATCAGATTATCCGCCAAACCAGATTCCATTGGGCGTAAAAAGCAGAATATGATAAAATTTATGTGAATGGATCACTGAAAATCAGTGATGACACCAGATGTTCGCAGAAAAGGTAAGCATGTCCTGCTCTACCGGTAGCACCCGCCACTAACATAATTTGCATTAATAAGTAAGTGTTCGTTTGTTGCCTGACGCCACTCAGCAATACTCCTGCTACACGACGACGGGATGTAAACCATCGAGTCTGGGCCAGACAATCCAGTGATCAGTATCATGAGCAAGATCGGCGTCGTTGTGGTACAACGCCACACTGTCAATCAAGTCACCAAGCATGACCACCCGATCCATGTATGCCAGAGTCGTCGTCAAGCAAATAGTGGAACGTTGACAGTTACCCATGTCGCTGAGCCTGCAAATCAGGTGTACTGGGACATGGTGATCTTGTGACACTATTTACGAGAGGGTGACGCCAGCCACTTCAGCATGTGTTAACCATACACAACCTGGAGTGCACATTCTGGTGCTGATTTGTGTGTGTGTGTGTATATAGAGGTTATCACGCGAGTGTGTTTAGGGATGGTAAATATCCTGCATTAGGAATAAACATTGTATTTAGCGAGCCTTGGCGAGCTAAATACATAGTGTTTATTCCTAATACAGGATATTTACCATCCCCAAACACACAAGCGTGATAACCTCTTTATCATATAATGTCATTCTTTAATTCTGTGCTTTAAAATCGCTTTCCCTCTCTCACAAACATTACCGAAACATTGCGAGTTTTCCTGGAATGCGCGCATTAATATTTATTACGTCACAGGGTAAGTGATGTGTCAGTCGGACAGTGACAGTAGCCAATATAGTTCCAACTGAAATCTGTTTCTTATACAGTGGCGAAGCAACATATACGCAAAACAACAGTTGTTTTTAATTGCCTTTCGCGGCAATCCATCGGTCTGTCCGCTAGAGTAACTGCCCTTTGTCAAAGGGAAGCTACTCTAACCCTAGTCTATGAGGCGTCACGGCCACGGTCAGACGTTGTTGACAGTCGGTCTGCCCTGTTATAACGTTAAGAAGTGTAGTCAAATGTACATCCAGAGACAAAACGAAACACGGTAACAATTCAAACATATTTCAGCCAAATCCAACTATTTTAATTTGTGGAGAAGGTTTCAAGCCGCAGAGGTCTACAAGCACAGATATGGCTACTGGTCCCGCTTGGCTAGGCCTCGTGCCCTCGCAAAATTGTTTCGAAATTTATATTTCCAAAGTTGCCAAAACTTATAAAATGCCTTACCTACGTCACAGTTAGATACTGATTTTTAGCATATTAGAGTGTTCTGTTGATAATGATAGCCATTATCCCTGTAGTTTATCCAGATTCCCGATGGTTAATTCTCACTCGATCGCAGAATGACGAGGGCGACGCCATGTTTGTTTATAAACAGTGAAAGTAGTCCTACTTGACCTTTGTTATTTGCATCTCTATCCGCATATGACCCCAACAGATATCGTTTTTATCCGTTGGCTTTATCCTGCCGAGAAACCTACCCATTATATGATAAATATATATATACGCAGTTGGTGCCAATCTCCCCTACTTTCACGTTGCCCGTTCTTCAGAGCGCAATTACCGGTAAGTACAATGACATTGTCAATAAGTGTTGCTCTATGGATACCCTCAAATACAAAGTTAAGTGTCGCCGTCGAGCAAATAGTGTAACGTCGTCAATAATGCATTGACTCTTGATTAAACAGTTTAATTTTGAGAAATTTGTTGTCTGATCACGAGCATGAGTTTTGTAAATAATCTGGAAAAATTAAAAACCAATTACGAATTATATATATTAAACTAATTCATCAAACCCGACCATATCATAAATTGCCTTCCTGAACTCTAAATGATGTAAAATCTACACAACCCGTCCACATGACTGGAGTAACAATATCAGTTCAGGGAAACCCTTGAAACATAAATATACTTTTTACAAGAGGTAGAACTACAACCTCAGCGACATCAATGGAGAGCGAAAATAAGTTTTGGCTTTTTTTGTCAATTTAATGGTAATGTGTGTGTAGAATACAATCCTATTTACGTCAACACATCAGTAAAGAGAGAAAAAACATGTAAGTGCGACTATCGTGTTTATGAATCTTTATCAAATAGTGATAATACCAGGTGTTAGCTCAAAGGTGAGCGTGTGTTGCACAACCACTGCAGAAATGTTTAACGGAATGGCTGTAAACAAGTTCCGTTGTCACTTAAGGACGAAATGTTAAGCACATGTTTCGGAAATTCCTACATGTCCAACCCTAAATTCTCGCCTAACCCTAAATTCTCGCCTCACCCTAAATTCTCGCCTAACCTAAAAACTTAAATGGAGAATTGTCGGATAGTACTTGCCCACTCCAACCACCTTGGATGGAAAGGGATTCTGAAAGAATTTTCAGTGTGTTAAATAACGCTGTAATAATGCATCACTGCACAACGATGAAAGTATCAAAGTTAAGAGTTAGTGAGTGACTAAAAATTTACAGCTATATCGGCAGTATATCTGCCATATCGTGACGATAAAAAGTTTATGCATCAATAATAAATACATAAAGTACATCCACAACTGTCTAAAAATAACCAGACTATCACAGATTATATTTAAAACTAGCATGTAATCATAAAAAGATATCACTATTCATAATAATACATGGTAAAAACGAGCTAGAGTTCGCCAAAAACCAAAGGCCGGTGTTCCATCCCCGACCGCGTCATACCAAAAGACGTTAAAAGATGGTACTTGTTGTTATCCTGTCTGGAGCTTGGGATTAAGGGGCTAAAGCAAGGACGTTAAACACAATTTCACCTTACCCACCTTACTCGAAAGAAATTGGTCTGCCTAATAAATTTTAAACATGTATGTGATTAATAAAATGCTTGTTAATAAATTTGGTGTGATGATTTTACCAACTGACATTATTGAAGGCTCTGTCCAGGAGGTTGAAGTACCGTAAAATTATTGTCCCCCTGTGTATCACGTAATCCTATCATAATCGATGTAACTATCATCAACCAGTGTTTTTAAGCCAACTCATTGCTGAGTATTTTCAATATTGGCTAGCATCGTGTGGCTAAAGTGGGGACGTAAATCCTGCTGGGGTACCATGCAGGAAGCAGAGGTGCTGTAAGTCCCCATGATCCCCAGCGAGGTGGCCTAGCTTTGGTTGCTGGTGGTGTATAGCCTCTGTTTTAAACTGTATTAATGATATCGTTTTGTATGTTTTATAAAATGTGGTTTTTAATTTAAATTTGCATTGATGACTCACTTGTGAAAATGTCAACTTGGTCCCGTCGCTATATGGCCGAAATAATGTCGATGCAACATAAAATTTTAACTCACTCACTCATTATGTCCTTGGTTGATGCATGTCATCGATCCCAATTGCGTGGGTCGATGCTCATGATATTAATCACTGGATTGTCTGGTCCAGACTCGATTATTTACAGACCGCCGTCATATACCTGGAATAATGCTGAGTGCGGCGTTAAACAACAAACCAAGCAACCACTCATGATGTCAATCACTGGATTGTCTGGTCCAGACTCGATGTTTTAACAGACCGCGGTCATAAAGCTGGATTATTGCCGGGTGCGGTATTAAACAAACAAACATGATACACTACATTCCCTATGTATCATTTCTCGAATTGCTTCATTATCTGAATGTTAGATTGTCTACTAACATTTATTATTTTTGGACCCTCAGATAGCAACGAGTTGTTTCTAATCATGACACCATATGCTGCTTCACATATATCTGTATGACCCGACGGAGACAGCCATTTTGTCCGTTATCAGTAATCGAGTCGTCAGTTCTGTTTGTCTGTAGCAGAAAGACGTCTCCACCACCTCTACTGCGACATGTACGTGTACGGACTGTTACTCCTTGGGTTGGTGGCATCAGCAGAGAGTTTCTGTTTTGTTGACAAAGTGTACACGGACGTGTCCAGTAAGTTCCTTGGCCACCTGTACCTTTATAGTTATTATTGTAAAACTATTCTTCCCGCTAATGTTAATTCCAAGAAGGGAGGGAATGACCCGTTTTTTAAAATAAATATTCTCAAATGTGTTGTCTCATCGCAAAAGCCAAGTCGCTAAGGTCATTGGGGTTTACCACTGACGCTCCGGGTTAGAATAGGTATTCAGCAACCCATGCTTGCCGTAACAGGCGACAAAGCGTGTCGTGAGAGGCGACTAACTGGATCGGGTGGTCAGGCTCGCTGCCTTGGTTGATGCACGTCATCGTATCGATGCTCATGATATCAGTCACTGAATTGTCTGGTCCAGACTCAATTATTTACAGACCGCCGTCATATAGCTGGAATATTGCTGAGTGCAGCGTTAACAAACAAACAAACAAACAAAAATCACTTTGGTGAAACTCGTGAACACTATGGTGGTGAGAAGATATGGATCGTGATAGGCACAATATGGAATGCAAACACACAAGCGGCTCCTGACAACTAAGCGACGAACTCTGCACTGACCTTCTCTTGCCTCGTCGTCAATGATGATGATACAGAAACATACACTGAAAAAAGGTCAAGTGAATTCTACTAACTTAATCAGTAACAGAGGCCAGATGGTTAGTAAACAGCGAATTTACCAGCCTTCTTGGTAGAATTCACAAAGATGCTGAAGATAAGTAATTATCAATTATTACAATAGTACAATTCAACCACACTGTAAGACTGTGTTAAAAGTGTAAACACATTCAGGATATGTTCAGGAATGTGTTTCAGTCCTAAACGGTATGACGATTTGGTGTGTTCTATTGCTGCAATGGATAAAAGGTTGCAGGTTCGAATCCAACCGAGGTTTAAAATTCTTTTAGTTCATCAATGTGTTGTTTCTGTATGCCTCATAGTATTTCTCTCATACAGGAAACTGACAATAAAAGTATATGTGACTGAACCTTTTTCCGATACTGTTTAGTAAAGTCTACTAACACGTTAGTGTCTGAGTGGACAGTGAAACTCACTTACTTAGTAAACTTTACAAACTATTTGTGTGAGTGTAATGCCAAATAGATCCTTCATTTGAGTTAAGATAACTTAGACATTGTGATAGTCGTGTTCAATCGTATGAAGATCGTGTTCAGTCGTGTGAAGATCGTGTTCAGTCGTATGAAGATCGTGTTCATTCGCGTTCAGTCGTGTTGGGGAGCGTGGGAAGAAACTCATACGACCTTCATACGTTTTAACACGATTCAACACGACTTTCATACACCTTTCAAACGACTCCCATACGCCTGAACACGAAATCCATACGTTTGTCATACGACCGGAAGAGCCCATCACGTGACTGAGTGAGAACGTGAGGAAACCCCCTGAAGATGAAAGCTCATTCTACAGCCATGCCAAACCTCAGGCGGCCGAAACGGAAGCTCCTCCAAGCAAAACCTTCGAAAGGGAAACATCCTTCACCACCAACCATGGATGACCATCCACCCGGTACCAAGGGACAAGATGAGCCAGCTGAAACCTCTGAACCACCACCAAAATCGCCAACAACAACAAAATCAACAACTGAAACTGACATCCTCCTCCAAAGCTGCTTCTTGCGGGTCTTGTTCCTTGTTGAACATGTTGAAGACTGACACAGAAATGCTGTTGCAATGCAGCCTATATACTACATGACCCACGTGACCAAAATAAATAAAAATGTGTCGTATGAAGATCTTGCTCAGTCGTATGGAGATCGTGTTTATTTTTGTAGTCTTATGGACATCGTAATGATAATAGGGTTTAATCGTATGGCGGTCGTGATGATTCGTGTTAAGTCGTATGGGCGTCGTATGTCAGTAGTATTGGGGTCGTGTTAAATTAGCTTAAATCGTGTTGTATCGTATGAATATCTTATGACGGTCGTACGAGTGTCTCGTTCAGTCGTGAGAAGGTCGTATGAGGGTCGTATGAGGGTCGTTTTTGGTTGTATGAGGGTCGTGTTTGGTTAAGAAATTTGCATAAACCACAAGGTCGAGCACGAATCAACACGATTTTTCAACTTTTCTTAAATCGTTTTCGCAATTTCTTAAATCGTGTATGTGAGATAGGGGCTTACGGCGCCGCGATTCGCTGTGCAGAATTGCGTCCCTTGGGCACGCCAGAAACCTTGATTGTGGGTTCGAATTTCCGCTTCGCCCCGATTATGTTATAGGTTTGTCAGCACCATACCTGTGCTCTTGGGTTTCACCGAAGTGGTAAACGTCTGAGACCTGCATCACTTCGGGCTTTCCTCCCACATTAAGCTGTCACGCCCTGACATAACTGGAATACTGTTAAAAACGGCGTCAAACCCAACTCACTCACTCTTCCCAAGTCAAACTGTCATGCCACGACATTAAAGAAATTCTGGTCAAAGAAAATGTCTCTACTTTTCAGAATATGGATCAATCACACAATACTGCATGTACAAAGGGCTGAAGATGCAGGTCGGATCTCACCTGAAGACAGCCGACTGTATTGAGTGCAACTGCAACGATACTGGTCTAGGCTGTTGTGGGCAAGTATAGGGAACACTTCGCTACACGGTTTCACACAAATCACCTGTCCCATACACCAAACATGTAGCATTAAGTCAAGTTTAACATTTAGCAAATGATAGGCAGAGCATCCCCATCCTTACAAACAGAACACTGCCTGTGCAGTGGCATAGATTCATATACCACTTCAATATTTACCACCTAAACATCAAAAGGACTTCGAGCAAAAACTGACACATGATGTGCACACACGGTTATACTTACTAAGGTCCAAAACTGACATGTTTCAACAATGTTTAGACACGAGTATATATTCTGAAACTAATATAGGATAAACTATATTGAGACTCGAGTATATATTGTAAGGTCCAAAACATGTTTCAACAATGTTTAGACACGAGTATATATTCTGAAACTAATATAGGATAAACTATATTGAGACTCGAGTATATATTGTAAGGTCCAAAACTGACATGTTTCAACAATGTTTAGACACGAGTATATATTCTGAAACTAATATAGGATAAACTATATTGAGACTCGAGTATATATTGTAAGGTCCAAAACTGACATGTTTCAACAATGTTTAGACACGAGTATATATTCTGAAACTAATATAGGATAAACTATATTGAGACTCGAGTATATATTGTAAGGTCCAAAACTGACATGTTTCAACAATGTTTAGACACGAGTATATATTCTGAAACTAATATAGGATAAACTATATTGAGACTCGAGTATATATTGTAAGGTCCAAAACTGACATGTTTCAACAATGTTTAGACACGAGTATATATTCTTAAACTAATATAGGATAAACTATATTGAGACTCGAGTATATATTGTAAGGTCCAAAACTGACATGTTTCAACAATGTTTAGACACGAGTATATATTCTGAAACTAATATAGGATAAACTATATTGAGACTCGAGTATATATTGTAAGGTCCAAAACTGACATGTTTCAACAATGTTTAGACACGAGTATATATTCTGAAACTAATAAAGGACAAACTATATTGAGACTCGAGTATATATTGTAAGGTCCAAAACTGACATGTTTCAACAATGTTTAGACACGAGTATATATTCTGAAACTAATAAAGGACAAACTATATTGAGACTCGAGTATATATTGTAAGGTCCAAAACTGACATGTTTCAACAATGTTTAGACACGAGTATATATTCTGAAACTAATAAAGGACAAACTATATTGAGACTCGAGTATATATTGTAAGGTCCAAAACTGACATGTTTCAACAATGTTTAGACACGAGTATATATTCTGAAACTAATATAGGATAAACTATATTGAGACTCGAGTATATATTGTAAGGTCCAAAACTGACATGTTTCAACAATGTTTAGACACGAGTATATATTCTGAAACTAATAAAGGACAAACTATATTGAGACTCGAGTATATATTGTAAGGTCCAAAACTGACATGTTTCAACAATGTTTAGACACGAGTATATATTCTGAAACTAATAAAGGACAAACTATATTGAGACTCGAGTATATATTGTAAGGTCCAAAACTGACATGTTTCAACAATGTTTAGACACGAGTATATATTCTGAAACTAATAAAGGACAAACTATATTGAGACTCGAGTATATATTGTAAGGTCCATGTTTCAACAATGTTTAGACACGAGTATATATTCTGAAACTAATATAGGATAAACTATATTGAGTCTCGAGTATATATTGTAAGGTCCATGTTTCAATAATGTTGAGACACGAGTATTTATTATGAAGCTAATAAAGGACAAACTATATTGAGACTCGAGTATATATTGTAAGGTCCATGTTTCAGTAATGTTTAGACACGAGTATATATTCTGAAACAAATATAGGATAAACTATATTGAGACACGAGTATAAGGTCCAAAACTAGCATGGAATTTAGCGTTGTTTGGACACGGATTTATTTTCTAAGACTAATATCTGATCAACAATATTGAGATACGCCTATATATTATTCTATGATCAAAACTTGACATGGCAACAACAGTACTGTTTGTTTAATTTGTTGTTGATGTTCGCTTTGGAAAAAGGTTTAAACGAAAATCCACAAACTGCCAATGCGATAGCCCATGTGACAACTCATACTATATTTCCATTCAATGTTATTTTTTTAATTAGTTTGAAACGAACTGATACACACACTATTGCTAATTGTGAAAGATGCTTGTGTTTGTTTGTTTGTTGTTTTACGCCGCACTCAGCAATATTTCAGCTATATGACGGCGGTCTGGACTCCAAGCCAGTGACTAACACCATAAGCATCGATTTAGGCAAATTGGATCCGATGACGTGCATCAACCAAGTCAGCGAGCATGACCACCCGATCCCGTTAGTCGCCCCTTACGACAAGCATGGTGACAGAGTATATATTCTAAGGTCCAAAACTTATCTGGAATCGGCAATGTCTAGACATGAGTGTATTTTGTAAAACTGATATTGGATCAACCATTTTGATGTCCAAAAAATCATAAGATGAACAACGTCACACAGGTGACTGACAGTTAAGAGCGAGTGTATACTTGAGGTCTAATAAAATACTGGGGGTAAAATAGATCTTCAGCAACCCATGCTTGCCGGTAAAAGGCAACTATGCTTGTCGTAATAGGCGACTAACGGGATCAGGTGGTCAGGCTCGCTGACTTGGTTGATGCATGTCATCGTATCCCAATTGCGTGGATCGATGCACATGATTTCAATCACTGGATTGTGCGGCGTTATACAACTAACAAAAAAACAAAAAAATACAGCACCAAACTGATATGGGACAACGCCATACAACACTGGCTTTGTGTTAGATCCAAACTGGCATGGAAAGGAAATGGGTACTTTACGGTACCACAATCACCACAATGTCGTGAAGATGTGCATTGCCTCAACACATACATATGAATGGCCATCCACGTTTAGACATGAACATATATGTTAAGGTCCTAATGTGCCGTGTAGAAATCACCGTCATATCTAAACAGGAATCAGTTGTCTGAGTCTGTGTTGTTACCTTTCACTGCAGATTCGGCATCAAGGCGGGCGTTGTGCAGCCTCCACCTGGGTGTAAGGTCGTCGCTGATGGATGCAAGATGTTGCTGGTGAAAGCTGACGATGACACGAAAGACTGCAGCTCTGGAGAGTCTCTTATAAAACCGTAGAGAGTCCCCCCTCCCCCCTTCCCGACGTCTCCTGTCTTGCATGCGTATTAATTTGTATAAATGCGAATTATTGTGTCTCGTAGCATTTACTATTCCTAAAAGGTAATTGTGGAATAAATATACGACGTCAACGCCAATAGTGATTCCATTGAATGCATATATCTCGTCATAAAATGCAATATACCAGCTATATGACGGCGGTCTGTAAATAATCGAGTCTGGACCAGACAATCCAGTGATTGATATCATGTGCATCGATCCACGCAATTGGGATCGATGACATGCATCAACCAAGTCAGCGAGCCTGACCACCCGATCCCGTAAGTCGCCTTTTACGACATTCAAGCATTGTCACTTTTTACGGCAAGCATGGGTTGCTGAAGACCTATTCTATCCCGGAATCTTCACGGGTATGCACTATGAGGCGACCATGCTTGTCGTAAGAGGCGAATAACGGGATCAGCATAGACCTACGCAAATGGGATACGATGACATCCATCAACCAAAGTCAGCGATCCTGACACCTGATCCCGTTATTCGCCTCTTACGACAAGCATTGGTGCACTATGAGGCGACCATACTTGTCGTAAGAGGCGGCGAATAACGGGGTCAGTTGTCAGGATCGCTGACTTTGGTTGATGGATGTCATCGTATCCCATTAGAGTAGATCTGTGCTCATGATGTCAATCACTGGATTGTCCTGTCCAGACTAGGTTATTTATAGACTGTCGTCATATAGAGCTGGAATATTGTTGAGTGTTGCGTTAAACAAGAAACAAACAAAGCCATATTTCTCTCATATCATGAATTTTCTCCTCACAGCATGCATATGCCTCACTATAGCATACATAATAATCATACGATTAATTAAATAAAGCGACAAAACCAATTCCATATCCAAAAGAAATTTCTGCAAAAAGCAGAGTCGATTGCATATCACTATATCATGATCATGTGTTTATTATCAATCACTATCAAATAGTAATGGTACCAGATATTCGCGAAAAAGTGAGCGTTTCCTGCCCCACCGGCGGTACCCGTCACAAACACATGCAAAGGCAAGTCAATCATTCACCTGAAAATAGGGAATTGCATCGGACATAATTTTTGTCACTGATGCGTCAAATTTGGAAATGTCCTCCACATGTCTACCATAATACTTTTTAAAATCTTTACAGAGGCCTTGAATGTTGATCAAACAACTTCTGAGCAAGAGTCGTATGACCATCTATGAAATCCTGAAAGAAAGAGGATGCTCGATTGTACGTTAAAAGTTATGAAATGTAGACACAAAGGGCTGGAGCTGCTTGAATATTGCTCGACATAAAGGGAAAGTTGACTACTGGAAAGTTGAAGTCATCCCTCTTGTCTTACAGTCTTGTGGAGAGTGTTTTGTCACTCCGAATCTTTATGCATAGATCTAAATATGAAACAGATGAAGATGTCTCTCTGGTCTCCTCTATTTCTAGTTCATGTGGGTAAATCGTTGGAAGGGAATTGAATGTTTGATGGTTATTGAACGATATCAGATCATCGGTAAACATGAAGCTTAAGTGAAACCTCTTCACCAAATTACCTCGTTTTCAAATTCTGATTCATATACACTAAGAAACAGATCAGTAAGAAGGAGAGCGCGCTTAGTGCCAATGGGAATGCCTACTTCTTGCCTACGTGTCTTATCCCGAGATGGAAATGTTGTTATAGAGAAAATCAACATAATATTTAGTCATTTGTCTGATCAGTGTTATATCATAGGTGAAATGGGGTTTAACGTCGCGTCCAAGATTATTGCACTTATATAGCGACGTGCATGCACGTGTGTGTGGCTGCTTGTACTAGTCCGGACTGATGCCGATTTATAGTGCTAGCACACTGAGATACCATGCCGCAGTTTAACATGAATACCCCACTCAGACACAGTATACTGACTCCGAGCCGACCAGTCCTTGTTTTAGCCCCTAATGCCGAGCGTCAGACAGGGTAACAACAAGTACCATCTTTTAACGGCTTTTGGTATTATGCGGCCGGGGATCGAACCCCGGACCTTCCGCTGTCCGGGCGGACGCTCTACCACAAGTAAAGTATACATTAAGCAAATGATACCGTGTAATTACATCGATGTTTACACACACACACACACATGCCGTTATTTATAAGCGTAATAATGTTGAACGCGACGTTAACTCATTTCGCCCCACCTCACCTGTGCTTGCATCAAGCATACCTATAGCAACAGACGTTCGCTCGTCACGCCAAAGACCCGGGTTCGATTCCCGACATGGGTACAATGTGTGAAGCCAATTTCTGGTGTCCCCCGCCGTGATATTGCTGGAATATTGCTAAAAGCGGCGTAAAACCAAAATCACTCACTCACTATAGCAACAGAATGCTTAGTACCTGTCAAAAGAGCACAGTTCTCGACTTCTCATGCCTGTATTCATTTCAGTCTTAAATAATGGTGTATCTTTGGATTTTCATTTCACATGTAATTAAAACGACGTTATATAATAGAAATGCAAAGCGGTGGTGAACCTTGGCATGGGACTTGTAAACTGGAATTATAAAGTGCCGTTTGGGATACGACGACAAAAATTTGAAAATTACACCTACTTCCAAATTGTCACCTCACTTCAATCTTCATGCACCTAGGGTACACATGCTGCAATTCACTTTGCAGGGTTGCGTCTCTTAGGCGTGCAAGAACACAATGGGTTCGAATCCTGATTCTCCCGGATTAGTTTTCGTGGTTTGTCACCGCCATACCGGTGTTCGGGAATTTAACCAAAGTGGTATACGTCTTGCAATGGCATCGGTTTCCTCACACATCAAGCTGGCAAATCGTGATCTAAATCAATTAATTTTGTGAGCGGCGGTGAATCCAACTCGGGCATTCACTCCATGCATCATTGTGTGGTAGTGGACTATTGCAGGTAATTTCTGATGAGTCTTAGTAGCAACAAAATGAACGAGGCTCTCGTAAAATATCGAGCAGCTGGATTTGGTTTTGATTGGTTGGTTGGTTGTTTAACGCCGCGCTCAGCAATATTCAGCTATATGACGGCGGTCTGTAAATAATCGAGTCTGGACCAGACAATCCAGTGATTAATATCATGAGCATCGATCCACATAATTGGGATCGATGACATGCATCAACCAAGTGAGCGAGCCTGACCACCCTATCCCGTTAGTCGCCTTTTACGACAAGCTTAGTCACCTTTTACGGCAAGCATGGGTTGCTGAAGACCTATTCTACCCCGGAATCTTCACGGGTCTCGACAAGCCGGAGTACTTGAGAGTTATTACCCTGTGTACATTAGAGTGTGAGTGAGTGAGTGAGTGAGTATGGTTTTTACGCCGCTTTTAGCAATAGTCCAGCAATATCACGCCGGGGACACAAGAAATGGTCATCACATATTTTACCCATGTCGGGATTCGAACGCGGGTCTTCGGCGTGACGAGCGAACGCTTTAACCACTAGGCTACCCGACGGCCCCTTGTACATTAAAGTTACCTCCGATCCAGTAGGTGTGTAGACACTGAGACAGTGCTACAGTGATTCGATGCTATCTACTGCTTGACCTGGGTCTTTTCTCCTTTCCCAGTGCGGACGGGATAACTATCTGATTACACCGACTACCTACCAGCTTCAAACACTTCCACACATGTCACCCATCGTATTGGCTTTTATGACTGTAAACCAAATACTACGTTTTCAATATAATAATAATAATATTTGTTTCTTACTTATTGATCGTGTGTTGTTATTTAACGATTTCCCAATTTATTTCTGCAGTACAGTTTAGTGATATTGTTTTCCATTTCAATCAATCAGTGAAAGCATGATGGCATCTTTTGATAAAACGGTCCAAGATTATAGCACCTATATAGCGACGTGCATGAACGCGCGCGTGCGTGCGTGCTTGCGTGCTTGTGTCTCCATGTGTGTGTCTGCGTGTACTAGTTCGGATTAATGTCGATTTTATAGTGCCAGCCCACCAGCATAACATGAATAACCCACTCATATACAGTCCTTGTATTAGCCTCCTAATGCCGGGTGACAGGCAGGGTAACAACAAGTACAAACTTTATACGCCTTTTAGGTATCACGTGGCCTAGGATCGACCCCCAGCGAATGCATTACCACCAGATCACGTCTTCCGATAAAAAAAAAGACTCAAGAGGAATTGGAATGCTTTTGCAAAGTGTTTCAATATATACAGAACATGGATTGAGATTTATTTGAGACAAGTGGCAATAACACTATCTGGATTTCAAAAACTCCAAGGAATTGCTGAACTTTTCAGAAAACAACCAATTCAATTATGTCAAAACATTTGAGTTTATGCTTCTATTCTTGTTGATCTGTTTCTTTATACATATGAATGGATTTCTTTGCGCTTCAGGTATATTGATGGTGGGATATCGTTCAATGACCATCAAATAGCCAATTCCCTTTCACTGATTTACCCACCTGAACGATAACAGGAGACCAATGAGACCGGCGTCGTTTCATGTTTAGGTCTATGCATAGATCCGAGACAATAGACCCACTGATTGTCTTGATAAATAGCAAGAAGTTACACCATGGACTGTCTTGACGAATGACATCAAGTTACCCTGGTCCGTCTTGACGAATGACATCAAGTTATCGTGGATTGTCTTGATAAAAGACATCAAGTTACTTTGGGTTGTCTTGACAAGTAGTGTGTTACACAGTAAGAAACCATACAGACCATGTATAAATAGATGGTCGTCGGGTTAAAATATGCAGTGATTTTCGGTTCATTATGGGATAGGAGTAGGCAACCTCGGGTACGACTGACAGATCCAATGCCCAATATGGTTCCCCAATAATTATTTGTGTGGAGTATTGAGCGAGTACATGCTGTAGAGGTCGGTAGGGAAGCGAAGTGTTTAAAACGTGGGCGCTTGTCCTAGTGTTACCCCAGGGTGACTACTATCATAACATATAACAGTATTTATCTTTCCTTGTACCCTGAACAATCTACATAGTGTTTACGCAAAACTAGATAACAAAGAGTCCGCTTCTTATCATGACGGAGCATGTGTCACATTCGTGTATATGTCCCAACGAAGACAGACAGTTTGGTATCAGTATAACAGTCGTCAGTTCTGTTTGTCAGAAGCAGATAGACGTCTCCACCACCTCTACTGCGACATGTACGTGTACGGACTTTTACTCCTTGGGTTGGTGGCATCAACACATGGGTCCTGTATGTTTGGTAAACCCATCACAGAAATGTCCAGTGAGTCCGTTCACTATCTATTATGGCTTTGTTGTTTGATATTCCACCAACATATCTGTCTTCTCAAAAAATTGACAGAATGCTATCGGTTAATTCCGCAATGGACATATTTGAATCATATCTCACCATTTAAATTTAGAAGCAGAGTTCGTAGGTTTTCACCACTTTTGTGGAATCCATATGCTGAGACACCAAGAATCAGCGGAAACTGGCAACTAAGGGACGAAACTCTTCACTGAATGTCGCTGTAAAAGTGAAAGTTACAGAAACGTCATTACAAATCATCTCATGTTTACATATCAGTTGATCATGATTAGCACAATACATACATTGTTTTACATGTAAACAACTTCTTGATTTAAAAATATATTTTTCCACACAGGGCATTTTGTAACAGATTCAATTTTGCGCTCACAGATTACAAACAGCATGGGCCTAGGATGTAAAACACATTGTCGTTACTTCCTTAGCATCTAGTCATTGTGGAAAAGGAAAGGACACTCACACACCTTCGCTCTATGGCTAAGTGACCCGTGAAGATTCCGGGATAGAATTGGTCTTCAGCAACCTTTGCTTGTCGTAAGAGGCGACTAACGGGTTCGGATAGTCAGGCTCGCTGACTTGGTTGATGGATGTCATCGTATCCCAGTTGCGTGGATCGATGCTCATGATGTCAGTTACTGAATTGTCGGTCCGGACTCGATTATTTACAGACCGCCGTCATATAGCTGGAATATTGCCGAGTGCGGCGTTAAGCAACAAACAAACAAACACATCTATGGCTAAGTTACACAGACAGCGCCGTGTTTCCTTCAACGTTTATGCCTGTCTTCCTCTATTGAATGTCTTCAGAACTGATATGAGTAGGCGCGTTATGCCAAACATGTCATTATTTTTATTTGTTTCTTATGTTGCTTCCCAGAATATGGAAAGGTCACACAATTGCCACATGTTGAATTCGAAACATCCACTCACTTTAGAGTGTTAGTGAGTTTGGTTTAACGCCGCTTTTAACAGTATTACATTTATATCACGGCATGTCAGCTTAATGTGGAAGGAAAGCCCGAAATGATGCAGGTCTCAGACGTTTACCACTTCGGTGAAACCAACGAGCACGGTATGGTGCTGACAAACCTAGAAACATAATTGGGGCGAACAGGGATGCGAACCCACAATCATAGGTAACTGGCATGCCAAAGGGACGCAACTCTGCACACCGAATAGCGGCGTCTTAGATGACTGGGCCACCCGTGCCCCCTTCACATTAGAAAAAAATAAACGTTTGGAAAAAGACACCCGCACTTTTTCTATGAACGCAGTATTTTGAATGCTTTTAATTGCAATCAACAACACCTCTATATCAGCCAACCTGTTCTCCCTCTGTCCATTCATTTACTGTCTGTCTTTCAACCGTACTTGTTACTTCACAATTCCTTTTTTCTCGTTTCACAGAATATGGAACAGTCTCCCAGTTCTGCATGTACAAAGGGCTGAAGATGCAGGTCGGATCTCACATTAAAACAGCCGACTGTATTGAGTGCAACTGTGGTGCGAATGGTCTCCACTGCTGTGGGCAAGTACAGGCGATAAAATAATTGTGTACATGGTTTACAACAGACAACACTGTCTTCATACAGGCAATCTTTATATCCAATTAGACGTATCATTGTGAGTCAGTTTATATTTTACCTATAGTTCTAGAGAGTTGCTGGGGCCACGGGTGGCCCAGTAGTCCAAGGTGCCGCAATTCGCTGTGCAGAGTTGCGTCCCTTGGGCGCGCAAGAAACCTATGATCGCTGGTTCGAATCCCGCTTCGCCCTGATTTTGTTTCTAGGTTTGTCAGCACCATACCCGTGCTCGTGGGTTTTCACACACACATTAAGCTGACATGCCATGATATGACTGGAATACCGTTCAAAGCGGCGTTAAACCCAACTCGGTCACTCACAACACCGAGTTGCCGCTCTCTACAGGCAGAACACAGTGTGCCCAATTTTTCAAAGGCATTGGAAGAAATTGAAGACATTAAACTTTCTTATTTTATTAACTGATTTTAACAGAATTTTCGGGGCTACTTTTTCAGGGCTTTTTTACACAGGATGGATTAATATACAACGATAACAATACAGCGAGCACGCTTAAAGGGTTAACGGGGAAAAAACAAAATTAATGAATTCGCCGTGAAGACATCGTGATGTGGCAGGGTGTGGGAACAATATGACAGTGCCACAGCATCAGGATGTCCGTTTTAGGGGAGTTCCTTGGTTGTGGTAGAGGGATTTGATTCAATTTCCTTTCGACCCCCTAAACTCCAAGATGTCGAGGCAACCTGACGTTTGGTCCAAAATCTCTAGACGAATATTTATTTGAAAATAAAATAGATGACATACATGTACGACTAGATATATTTACCAAAAGTGTATATTTCCAAACGTCCAAACTGAGTTACGACCAACGGTGTTCAGAAACACTGAACATATTTTCAGTTAAAATGTTTACAACACAAACAGAGATAACAACAACAAAATTAATTAATTGATTGATTGAACAAAATAATATTCTAAGGTAAAAAAAATGGGATATAAGTTGACAACAGAGCTTTCCAACGAGCATGTGTTGCATAAAGTCCAAAAGTAGCTTTTGTTCGATTCAAGCTGACATTCAATCAAACATATCCTTTAGTTGGAACATGGAAGTAGTCATCTGAGCCTGTGTTGTTATTTTTCACTGCAGATTCGGCATCAAGGCGGGCGTTGTACAGCCTCCAGATGGATGTAAGGTTGTCGGTGATGGATGCAAGATGCTGGTTGTGAAATCTGATGATGAAACTAAAGACTGCTTCTCCGGGAACTCTCTTGTCAAGCAATAGAACAGCTATCATGTGCGATTATTACCCACGCTATACGTGTTTACTGTATAAACGAGATTCATGAAAGAACGGACTTTAATATCTATTTTTCATTTACGGAGATATAACCGTGAACGCTGGTGCTGGAACCGCACACATCAACGTAGCAGACTGTACATACTGTTTCCTAGTTTTTCCTCCATATGTGCAAGCTATTGTTTCATTAAAGTCATGTCTAATCAATAAATAAGTCAACAAATATAATTTCACTGATTGCTTATTTTATCAGGATTACAAAAAATGTAAACAACGATACGAAATCAGTGACATTGTTCATTGAAATAATGCAACACAAGGTACGAAAGTCTGCAAGTGGTATAATTTTTGGAAACAAAAACGCAAACAACACCGAATGCCATGGAGTCGCATTCGATTTATTTACCGCCGCTTCTTTCCTGCATGATTTAAACCTAAGATGTGATGTGGATTGCAGCAAATTACATCCGTGAAGCTCCCTGTCAGCATTGAACTTCAGCAACCTATGCTTGTCGTTAGAGGTCACAAACGGGATCGGGTGGTCAGGCTCGCTGACTTGGTTGATGCATGTCAAAGAGTCTCAGCTTGATGTGGCAGCACAACTTCAAGCGCTGGAGGCATTCTGAAGACATTTACGACAAAGGATCATACCAGGGAGAATCTGAATCGAACCTACAATCCTAAGATCCTGGAACGCGTCTTGAAAGACTGTTTGTTTGATTGTTTGTTGTTTAACGCCGCACTCAGCAATATCCCAGCTATATGACGGCGGTCTGTGAGTAATCGAGTCTGGACCAGACAATCCAGTGATATATATCATGAGCATCGATCCACGCAGTTGGGATCGATGACATGCATCAACCAAGTCAGCGAGTCTGACCACCCGATCCCGTTGGTCGCCTCTTACGACAAGCATAGTCGCCTCTTACGACAAGCATAGTTGCCTTTTACGGCAAGCATGGGTTGCTGAAGACCTATTTTCACGGGCCTCTTGGAAGACTGGGCCCCCGTGTCCATTTAGTATGTATTTATATCAGGAGATCTTTTACGTAATTGGAAGGAAATTTTGTAAGACCTAAAGTATTGAGACTAATTAACTTGACTCGAATACACTATATACAATTTGTACACGCTCTTATAGTGACGAAACCCAAGTTACCCGTACACAAATATATGGATATAATACATTATATTGAAAGTGCCTGTTTTACTTCTTGATTGTATAATATACGTCATTGAGAGTGTCCGTTCAAATTCCGATTTTATCGAAAACAATAAAAAGCCACAAGAATACATTGCTGTAAGATTTTCTTCCCAAACAATATTTAGACTCATAGTTTTGACTATCTGTTTTTTATTTGTTGTTCACAAAATATCTTGTATATATACCCCTTCTATAGGGTCAGTCAATATGGTGGCAAAGTTTCTTTCTCGGGCATATTTTGTCAATGTAATGAATATTTACAATAACACGAGGGTGCAACTCTTATTTTGAAAATGCAACTGCTTAAACCGTTTAGACAATAGACCAGTTAATATATTCGGTCTGTCAGCGGTCTGGTGGAGCTCGTTTTGTAATTCTTGTCAGCTTGGATGACTTCTAGGAGACAGTCAGCCAGGCGCTTGTACTCCTCCAGCGTGTTGTACACCTGGGTACTGATGCGAAGATGAAGGTGACCCTGAATCAACTCGATGGCACACTGGATGTTGTACTTGTAGCGTATGTCCGTGTGGAAGGCGATCGATCCTTCCTGTAATTTCAATAACATAGAGAATTACACCCTCGTGCGTTTTGGTATGAAATATATCAACACGAGTTGATAAAAATGTATCTCCGCTTGTCGAGTTTAAAACTTCTATCGACGAATGTTGACATATTGATAATGTTGATATTATGATTCTGTGTATCATCCAAAAGAATTCTTCCAACATTTTCAGTATGTAAACAGTATCAACCTGTGTATTAAAGACAAAGGTACAGCTAACTGGATTTAGGGGTTAGTGATGTCATTTGAGCGTGACGTCATGTTAACCGATGATGTCACAATAGTCGTCAAAGCATTATGGTGCAATTTCATGGAAGCGCTATCTCACTATAAATCACTATTATACCATTGACTATTCCATTGCCAAATACTTTCCACTGATTGGTTTATCAGGGCGTGGCGTTAACCATTAATACAAAAGGTGGTCCTTAATAGACGCACGAGCTGAGCTCCTTCAAGGACCTTTCTGACTTCCTCTGGAACAGTGACATGGCTGCGACACCTGGTGTTATGGGGAATGCCGCAGCCAAGCTCGTTCTGAAGAACAATGAGAAGCGCATCATCTGGCCGGGAAACTGTCGTAGTCGCCCACTATAGGACTTGCCTGACTCCAAGCCTGCCACTCCTGACCCCCCCCCCCCATTCACCCCAACCCAAGCCCATATTTTCCCAGCTATTATCATATATTTACCTTTACAACCTGCCCCCCCCCCCCCCCCCCCCAACCCCACCCTATCCCACCCCAAATAGGACTTTATTTTGTAGTCTCAAACTTATTTACAATTTTATGGGGTAAGCACTTTTCTTATTTCTTCAAACTTTTTTTTTCACCAAAATAGTATAGTGCAACCCCGTGTGCGAAATTGAGAAAAGCGCACGTTACTTCCCAAGTTAGTAAAAGAAGAAGACGTCCTTAATGGTGCAGTTATCATTTGACTCCCTGAATCTCAATTGAAGAAATAAAGGATTTGGCTCCTGGCGTTCTTCCTTTATTCAACTCCAAATAAGGAAGGCGGCCAATATATTAAAGGGGCGATACAACCACAAAATAGAATCAGACCTAAGATGTAACATCTAATGATAGACGTGTAATAACTGTATGTTTCACGTGGCAAAGTATTCCGACATACCAGTGTGCAGGGGTACTGAGACAAGTCTGGCAGTCGGATCACCCTCATGGTGGGAGACTCCATACTCTGAGGTATCTGCAATGGCTCTGCTCTGAGCTTCTTGAGAATGTACTCATGTGCCTCCGAAGCGAGCTTGGATGTGTAGCTGATGATCTTATCCTGAAACAGTTCCATGTCAGGAGTAGGTCGAAGATGACTCTCGAAGTTTTGCAATCAAACACATGAGGAGCGGCACAAAGCATGGTAATTTGTTTTAGGATAAATAATAATTATTACAAATTCAACACACTTCACTTACATCTAATCTTTTCCGCTCAAAAAGTAATAAAACAATGTAAGCATTCCCATTTTGATTGAAAGTATCCATAACCGTTCTGTAAACAAAACCTAAACCAAAAGGGTTGCAGTGCCTGAAAAGAATTCTTTTTGTATGATATCAATTTCTTTTGCGGATATTCTCACAACGTTTAGGGGTATACTCGTACTCTGCCATTCATTTCTTTTCTGGAACACCTGGTATCAACACTTTTTGATAGCGATTCATAAACCCGCTCAACATGATAATAATAAAGCGACAAAACCCTTTCCATATCCAAAAGAAATCTCTGCATAAAGCAGAGTTGATTGTACAATTCCAACTAAATTATGAGTATGTGTTTATGAATCACTATGACATAGTAATAATACCAGGTGCTCGCGAAAAGGCGAGCGTATCCTGCCCCACCGTTTACACACTTCACAAACACATGCAAAGGCAAGTCAATTGTTCACCTGAAAACACATGGGAACATATGGTAGTTATGGACGGAATCGTACAATGGACTCTGCTTTTAACATATATTTCTTATGACCGTGGAAAGGGTTTTGTCGCTTTTAATTTATTGACCTTTTCGAAATGAAAGGAACTACAGTAAACTACGTTTATAACGAAAACGCATATAACGAACTGACGGATATAACGAACTATTTCTTGGTCCCGTCCATTTGCTGTATAGATACTGTACATATGCTTATAACGAACAACGTATATAACGAATTACAATTAGTGGTCCCTTTTCAGTTCGTTATAACCGTAGTTTACTGTAGTTATTGTTTGTTTGTTAAACGCCGCACTCAACAATAGTCTAGCTATATGGCGGCGGTCTGTAAATACCAGGTCGACCAGACATTCCAGTGATTGACCTCATGAGCATCGATCCACGTAATTGGGATACGATAACATGCATCAACCAAGTCAGCGAGCCTGACCACCCGATCCCGTTTGTCGGCTCTTACGACAACACAAATCTATCCTCTGTCAATGATAACAATACCAAGCCACTAGCCATCCAGCCACCAAGACGAGTGAGTGCCAATTACCATGCCTCCAATCCGCTGGTAGAACTCCACTGCATATTTGGCAGTAATGAAGGGGGTCTGATCTTCAGTAGCAATGATGAAGAACCTTTTTTCCAGAGATAGCCCGTGGTTCCAAGATGTGACAAGCGGGTGAACCCAGGCATGATGTTCTCGCTTCACGTACAGAATCGCACAGCCTTTGGGAGTGAACATCCATTTGTGGAAACTACCTGTTTCAGAGATACCGAGAAGTCTAACGCAAGAAACCATATATGCGACATGTTCCCTTGTTTACCCCCCGGGTTAGGGGTAGGAGTTAGGACTAGAGTAGGGGCCATGGGTGAGGGTAGGGATTATATGATTTATGTAACACGTTTCACAGAGTAAAATTAGAAACACAAGTTACGTATTATAATAACTACATAAACTCTTCAAAAAAAGAAACGCTCAGGTAGTATGTAATTCATTAACCTGAATATGTTATTGGAAAATGTTGGTAGCCTGATATTCGACAAACGGTGCGTCAAAACGCAGGCATTGTCGATTTGCACTGTCTTAAACGGCATTGTTTTCACACTTGTTAAACAATGGCATGAAGGAAAGCAGTAAGGCAACATGTAGATGCAAGTTATGGCATTCGTACCTCGTGGTAGTGGCAATGAAAAGTCAAGCATGAGCCAATAATTTGTCATTCAATGGTCAACATTTTTCAAGTTCGAAAATGCCGAGACTCGCCATAGGACGTATCCAAAGAGGGGAATTGCAGTCTTCTGTTGCACGCCACTTCAATGTCCACCACAGCACCATTTGCCGCCTTTGTGACCTATACACACAGTTTAATTTCACTGCTGACCGTCAGAGAACTGGCCGACCAAGTGTTACCACCCCTGCACAGGATCGCTACATTCGACTGTTCCACCTACGTCATAGCAATGCCACAGCTTCGGAGACTGCAGGACGCATCCCTGGTTTGAGGAGGATGTCCTACCAGACTGTCAGGAACCATCTTTGAGAGGCTGGAAGACTAGTTATCGTCCCTGTATTGCAACAGATCCATCGACAGCGACGCTTGCGTTGGTGCCATACCTTACAGCCTTAGAATTTCAGAAACTGGAGACGAGTGTGGTTGAGCGATGAATCAAGATTTCCTATACACCGACGAGATGGAAGACAACGTGTTTATCGTCGTCGAAATGAGCGTTTTGCCCGACATTGTGTTCGGGAATTCGACAAATTCGGTGGCAGTAATGTCATGGTGTATCGTGCCATATCCTACACCACGAGATCTTACCTGGTTGTGGTTCAGGGAAATTTGAAAGCAAATCGCTACATGAATCAAATTCTTCGACCTCACCTTCTTCCAAACATTGGCCGCCAGAGGGAGCTGTTTCAACAGGACAATGCTCCACCGCACACAGCTCGTGTCACGGTAGACTACCTACATAATGCCAACATCAACGCCTTGCCCTGGCCGTCGAGATCTCCAGATCTCAACCCAATTGAACACCTCTGGGATGAACCCGATCGACGTGTTCCTCAACGTCAGAACACGCCGCAGACAGCTCAAAACTGGCCAACGCGTTACAAGCAGAATGGCGCAGAATGGCGCAGAATTCCGCAGGACAGAAATCATACACGTATCCAGTCAGTGCCGAGGTGATGCAGAGCCGTGATTGCTACCCGGGGCGGTCACATGAGACCGCGCAACCTTGTGACCTTATATGAGAAGACAATGAACAGTTTTATATGCCTTTGTACAACGACAACATGTGACTATCGAGCTCCAATATTTCATATTTGTATCTATGATATGAAATTAAATATATCGACTTTATTAGGTACAATAAATTTACTAAACATCTACCTGTGCGTTTCATTTTTTGAAGAGTGTAGTTACCTATTGGAAGTTATTTATTCATTTAACCTGCATACACTGTAAAGGACTATGTTTTGAATTGTGTTCAAAGTGCCTGGAATGTTTTGTAAGTCGTTTCGGAATTAAACACTGCTTAAAAACAAGTTTGTACAGTTTATGTAAACAAATGTATATCAGATCAAAATTACCTATAAAAGCATCGGCGCCGAGTTCGGTGAGATTGACTGGAAGCAAACCAGGAGCATGTGCGCCGTCTACAATGGCCAAAACTCCATACCTGTGACACAGAGTGACGAGGCGCTTCAACGGCATGACAACAGCTGACGGACTGGTGATGGCATCTAACATACAATGACAGGTCGTGGTCAATACAAACATAAGACAATTCATCAACGTTATCCAGCACAATCATGATTTTCGTGTTGCAGCTGATGAAGATGCCAGCTTGTACAGGCATACGTTTGTGTGCATGTGTCTGTTCAAATTGAATATGAGTTGATTATCAACGAGTGAATTAAATTTCACGTCAGATATTTTACGTCGGTCGGTGTTGCATGTTGGCCATACATAACGATTGTTAATAGATTTGGTTTGGTTTGTTGTTTAACGCCGCACTCAGCAATATTTCAGCTATATGACGGCGGTCTGTAAATAAACGAGTCTGGACCAGACAATCCAGTGATTAATATCACGAGCATCGATCCACGCAATTGGGCTACGATGACATGCATAAACCGAGTCAGCGAGCCTGACCACCCGATCCCGTTAGTCGCCTTTTACGACAAGCATAATCACCTTTTACGGCAAGCATGGGTTGCTGAAGACCTCTTCTACCCCGGAATCTTCACGGGTCGATTGTTAATAGATCGATGTACAGCGAACAGTGTACAATGACACCCAAACACACAAACAATGGCTATGCATCGTAACGTCTCTATCGTCTCCCTAGAAACATCAGGGGTTCTTTTGTGGCCCAACCGTCTTCACGAAGAGATGTGTTGCGTTTTGGCCACACGTTACGGTTGTTTGTAGCACGGGCGACGGTGTACAAGGATACACACACAAACAATGGTTATACATTGTAGTGTCTCTATCCATTCCCCCAATGTGACTGGGTTCTTTTCGGGCCAAAACATCTTCGCGAAGATACAATCATACGGTAATAGGGGCCTAGTGCGCACCGGGTATGTCAGGCAGACACACGCATTTGGTACAGGGAACATATTCTGCACTGGAATCTTCACGAAGCATATTGTACCATTTATGGTCTATATTTCCGGATATCTTCTCAGAGACACAAGCATATTGTTCTTGGGGGCCTATTCCGTACTTCCGTGAAGATCCGGGGTAGAATAGGTCTTCAGCAACCCATGCTTGCAGTAAAAGGTGACTATGCTTGTCGTAAAAGGCGACTAACGGGATCGGGTGGTCAGACTCGCTGAATTGGTTGATGCATGTCATCGATCCCAATTGCGTGGATCGATGCTCGTGATATTAATCACTGGATTGTCTGGTCCAGACTCGATTATTTACAGACCGCCGCCATATAGCTGGAATATTGCTGAGTGCGGCGTTAAACAACAAACCAACCAATCAACCAACTATTCCGTACTTGAATCGTCACGGAGAGACAGGTATTGGTACTGGTGGTAATTAATCAGCCTTGGATCATATGCTCTTGAATGTTCATGCAAATTATGTTTTATTTGTAAAGATGTAATTCAAGAAACCATTAGTCTTGTTGTGGGTCAATTGGAACCAACTATTTACTCACCCAGGATAGCGATTTTGGTGTTGGGGTTAGATTTGAAGAAGTCTTCATATTTCTCACAAATCTCATCGTCACTTGATATCGGAAATTTAATCTCCATCTCAAATGTTTTGACTCCTGAATTTTACAAAATACAATCAATGAATATGAGGCAATGGTGCATGTATTTGTCGGACGTAAACATGTTACTCATACAACAACATCTTTGTTTCACTTGATGTTTATCACATGAGGTGATTACAGACCGATGCTCATAATAGAAGCCACTGTTTTGTCTGGCTCGGACTCGATTATCTACGGACATCCCTGGAATATTGCCGAGCGTGGCGTTAAACAAGCAAACATATTAGACTACAAGAGGTCGTTTATCTACGAGTAAACTAAGCAACTATGATTCTTCCACTGATGTGTGCCATTGTGGAACATGGCCTTCACCGTCTACCCAAGAAGGAAACTTTTCAAAGTAAATTAGTAAACATATTGTTACAAATACACTATAGTATGTTTTTCCTTTTCAGATTGCAGATTGCTTTTTCAAATGTGGGAGATTCTTTGACCCTCCCTTGTACGATGAATCATTCCCTGTCCTCCACTACTTCCCCTTGTTTAACCGCCTCCGTGGTCTAGTAGTAGAGCGTCCGCCCGGAGAGCGAAAGGTCCGGGGTTCGAACTCCGGCCGCGTCATACCAAATGACGTTAAACGATGGTACTTGTTGTTACCCTGTCTGGCGCTCAGCATTAAGGGACTAAAACAAGGACTGGTCGGCTCGGGGTTAGTATACTGTGTCCGAGTGGGGTATTCATGTTAAACTGCTGCGTGGTATCTTAGCGGGCTAGCACTTTAGAATCGGCATCAGCCCGGACCTGTGGCCTGGCAAGTATAAGCTATAGGCCTGAACGTCAGCGTGGTGTACCTCGGAATATCTCCAGCTTACCTTCATAGAGATCTGCTGTGGCCTGGCATGGCAAGTATAAGCAATAGGCCTGAACGTCAGCGTGGTGTACATCAGAATATCTCCAGCTTACCTTCATAAGGGTCCGCTGTGACCTGGCAAGTATAAGCTATGGGCCTGAACGTCAGCGTGGTGTACATCAGAATATCTCCAGCTTACCTTCATAGAGGTCCGCTGTGGCCTGGCAAGTATAAGATATAGGCCTGAACGTCAGCGTGGTGTACATCAGAATATCTCCAGCTTACCTTCATAGAGGTCCGCTGTGGCATGGCAAGTATAAGATATAGGCCTGAACGTCAGCGTGGTGTACATCAGAATATCTCCAGCTTACCTTCATAGAGGTCCGCTGTGGCCTGGCAAGTATAAGTTTTGGGCCTGAACGTCAGCGTGGTGTACATCAGAATATCTCCAGCTTACCTTCATAGTGGTCCGCTGTAGCCTGGCAAGTATATTCTATAGGCCTGAACGTCAGCGTGGTGTACATCAGAATATCTCCAGCTTACCTTCATAGAGGTCCGCTGTGGCCTGGCAAGTATAAGCTATAGGCCTGAACGTCAGCGTGGTGTACATCAGAATATCTCCAGCTTACCTTCATAGAGGTCCGCTGTGGCCTGGCAAGTATAAGCTATCGGCCTGAACGTCAGCGTGGTGTACATCAGAATATCCCCTGGTTTGTAAGGGCAGCACTTCAGCACTGTGTTCAAACCTGTGGTCAGATGTATCAGTTTGTCATGTTGCAATAATGACCACATGTGTCAAATGTCACTTGTGTCAACATGTACGTTATGTTGGAAATACTTCCTGCATGTTTTCAAGGAACTCCAAATATGTATATTGTTGCGGTGTTGCAGTTCATAGCATACTTTAACGGGTGGTCAGTTTATTCATGCAGCTGTGGTATTATTATGTAAATTTTACGTTTGTAAGAATTCGGGCTAACAACCCGAGCTGCATTTGAGGTTCTAGAAGGTTAACAGTCACATAACTATCTCATCCTACCGGGTACCCATTCAGTGATGCGTTACAGAGGCATATTCCGAAAAATGTCACTTGACCAAGGAGACACCACGTATGCTACATGGGCTTCAGAATGGAGCAGGCCCGAAGCCCTTGGAACATTGAAAACCCAAGCTGGCGAACACTGTCACCCATTCAAGAACTCTCCGCGAGCAACATTGCGAAACTTCTCCTGCTGTTCAGAGGTTCACATGCAACCACACCAACAAGTTCATATTGTTTTACATGCATATATTACTTTTTATCAGTTTAAAAAAATCAAACCTCTGTCTTTTATGCTGAACAAGGTAATGCACTTATTTTAGCCTGTCCAACTCAATATTATATTATATACTACTGTGATTGAACTTCTTCCTATTTCTACCGGCGACCAAAGCTTGTAAGAAGAATATCCGTAAACCAACTGATACAAAGAAGGCCCCAGTGAAATCATCGAGCAGGGGTATGGTACACGGTTACATAAATGAGAGATTCGAACCCACGATCAGTGAATCCTGGCATCGACAAGCTTGGATCGGGGGACGCAACGAACGGACATTAATATCGAGCAACAATTGCGGCGCCATAGACCACAGGACCACTTTTAATCAATTTATCAGAATAACAAAATGTAGAAATATGCAGCACACAATGCTGCTTCAGTTTGGGTTTTTAGTTGGGTTCAGCACTGCTTTGAACAGTATTCAAGTTGTAATTTATTACGACGTGTCATGATCACCTTGATGTGGGAGAAAACCTGAAGTGATGCACGTCTTAGACATTTACCGCTTTGGTGAAACCCACGAGCCCGCATACAGTGCCGAAAAACCTACAACATAATCAGGGTGAATCGGGATTCGAACCCACCCTATACGAGAATCTAGATTTATCAGAGAGTGAGATAATTCGGAAACAATTGAACCACTATCTGCTTGATACATATCACTAAACTATGAGTGAATGAGTATGACATGAGCTCTATTGCAAGATCAAAGTGATGATGGAATCAACACAAGTGTTACCTGTAGTCGCATTTTGCACACACACCAGATCCTGGGGATCGCAGTGCATGAAGTCAGCTACTGCCTTCTGTGATTCATGCCAATACTTGTAGACACTCCTCCGGTACCAGTCATCAGGATGTCTCTCTATCTCTTCGCGGAATCTGAAGTCACCAATACATATGTATTGATGTCAAAGGAGATGTCATATGCCACGGAAACCACGATGCAACATACATCTGCGAGACTGTCAGATTAACGGGTCTAAATAGCACTGATTAAATCGGTTCCCATTATTTGTGTCGGATAAAGCCGATTGTCGGATTAACGAGTGTCGGATTAACAAGACTTGACTGTATTGATATTTAAAAACATCGAAAATTACCATTTTCAATCAGGTACACTTACAAAATTGGATAACATGTCGACCATATCTCTCTAAAATCCACAACCAGTAACCCGTTTACCTTCGTTGCACCTCTTGAACACAGTTAGGAACTGCACCAAATGATCCATTATTGAGAAATGTCTCTCCTTTCTGCAGAGAAAACTCTTCTCTCATCTTAGCCCCGAACTCCACGGCTTCATGCAGATTTTCCAGTTTCATGCTGTGGAATAAGCATGGATAATTATCATGAGTCATTTGGCTGTGAGTTGACTTTCAGGCCTCATGATGTGAAGATAAACATGGAAATCATTAGTCATTTGGCTGTGAGTTGACTTTCAGGCCTCATGATGTGAAGATAAACATGGAAATCATTAGTCATTTGGCTGTGAGTTGACCTTCCAGCCTCATGATGTGAAGATAAACATGGCAATCATTAGTCATTTGGCTGTGAGTTGACCTTCCAGCCTCATGATGTGAAGATAAACATGGCAATCATTAGTCATTTGGCTGTGAGTTGACCTTCCAGCCTCATGCTGTGAAGATAAACATGGAAATCATTAGTCATTTGGCTGTGAGTTGACTTTCAGGCCTCATGATGTGAAGATAAACATGGAAATCATTAGTCATTTGGCTGTGAGTTGACCTTCCAGCCTCATGATGTGAAGATAAACATAGCAATCATTAGTCATTTGGCTGTGAATTGACCTTCCCGCCTCATGCTGTGAAGATAAACATGGCAATCATTAGTCATTTGGCTGTGAGTTGACCTTCCAGCCTCATGCTGTGGAGATAAACATGGCAATCATTAGTCATTTGGCTGTGAGTTGACCTTCCAGCCTCATGATGTGAAGATAAACATGGAAATCATTAGTCATTTGGCTGTGAGTTGACCTTCCAGCCTCATGCTGTGAAGATAAACATGGCAATCATTAGTCATTTGGCTGTGAGTTGACCTTCCAGCCTCATGCTGTGGAGATCAACATGGAAATCATTAGTCCTTTGGCTGTGAGTTGACCTTCCAGCCTCATGCTGTGGAGATAAACATGGAAATCATTAGTCATTTGGCTGTGAGTTGACCTTCCAGCCTCATGCTGTGGAGATCAACATGGAAATCATTAGTCATTTGGGTGTGAGTTGACTTTCAGGCCTCATGATGTGAAGATAAACATGGAAATCATTAGTCATTTGGCTGTGAGTTGACCTTCCAGCCTCATGCTGTGAAGATAAACATGGCAATCATTAGTCCTTTGGCTGTGAGTTGACCTTCCAGCCCCATGCCGTGAAGATAAACATGGCAATCATTAGTCATTTGGCTGTGCGTTGACCTTCCAGCCTCATGCTGTGAAGATAAACATGGAAATCATTAGTCATTTGGCTGTGAGTTGACCTTCCAGCCTCATGCTGTGGAGATAAACATGGAAATCATTAGTCATTTGGCTGTGAGTTGACCTTCCAGCCTCATGATGTGGAGATAAACATGGAAATCATTAGTCATTTGGCTGTGCGTTGACCTTCCAGCCTCATGCTGTGAAGATAAACATGGCAATCATTAGTCATTTGGCTGTGCGTTGACCTTCCAGCCTCATGCTGTGGAGATAAACATGGAAATCATTAGTCATTTGGCTGTGAGTTGACCTTCCAGCCTCATGATGTGAAGATAAACATGGCAATCATTAGTCCTTTGGCTGTGAGTTGACCTTCCAGCCTCAAGCTGTGGAGATAAACATGGAAATCATTAGTCATTTGGCTGTGCGTTGACCTTCCAGCCTCATGCTGTGAAGATAAACATGGCAATCATTAGTCATTTGGCTGTGCGTTGACCTTCCAGCCTCATGCTGTGGAGATAAACATGGAAATCATTAGTCATTTGGCTGTGAGTTGACCTTCCAGCCTCATGATGTGAAGATAAACATGGCAATCATTAGTCCTTTGGCTGTGAGTTGACCTTCCAGCCTCAAGCTGAGGAGATAAACATGGAAATCATTAGTCATTTGGCTGTGAGTTGACCTTCCAGCCTCATGCTGTGAAGATAAACATGGCAATCATTAGTCATTTGGCAGTGCGTTGACCTTCCAGCCTCATGCTGTGGAGATAAACATGGAAATCATTAGTCCTTTGGCTGTGAGTTGACCTTCCAGCCTCACGCTGTGAAGATAAACATGGAAATCAATAGTCATTTGGCTGTGAATTGACCTTCCCGCCTCATGCCGTGGAGATAGACATGGAAATAATTAAGTCATTTGTCTGTGAGTTGACCTTCAAGTATCATGATGTGATGATTGTTAGCCATTTTGTTTGTTTCCATTTTGTGATTACCTCACATTGAGAATAATGCTTTTGAGCTATGCGAGCCAGGCACCTCAAACGCCACAATTCAGCGTGTAGAGTTGCGTCCCTTAATTTAGGCCCGCACGTAATAGCAAAGGACATTATTGACTTAGATGCCATGTTTCAGTTCGAACGTACACATCGATATAATGAGACCATTACGTGCTACACTCATAATCTAAAGGCTTAAATAATTGTGAGATGAAACTAAACAATAACGCCATATGACACTCATTTGGAAGTCTCTCTTTCCACAAGACCTCAGAGGCGGTCTTCATAGAGTTCATAGAATAAACGGGTGAGGTGAGGTGAAATGGGGTTTAACGTCGCGTCCAAGATTATTGCACTTATATAGCGATGTGCATGCACGTGTGTGTGTGGCAGCTTGTACTAGTCCGGACTGATGCCGATTCATAGTGCTAGCACACTGAGATACCATGCCGCAGTTTAATATGAATACCTCACTCAGACACAGCATACTGACTCCGAGCCGACCTTGTTTTAGCCCCTCAATGCCGATTGCCAGACAGGGTAACAACAAGTACCATCTTTTAACGTCTTTCGGTATGACGCGGCCGGGGATCGAACCCAAGACATTCCGCTTTTCGGGCGGACGCTCTACCATTAGACCAAGGAGGCGGTCCCATAGAATAAACCTTTTTGCTGAAATGATATTATTTCTAGGTGTACCCTTCAGGTACTAGGAAGTAATTGTCACTGCGTCATTGTGATGCATACCACAGACCCTGTAACACAAGGAATATCAAATATGGATTGTAATAGGTCACGGAGAAATGCCTGATGTTTGTGTTAATCTGTGATTGTACGTCAGATGCCATCACCAGTCCGTCAGCTGAGTGAGTGAGTATGGTTTTACGCCGCTTTTAGCAATATTCCAGCAATATCACGGCGGGGGACACCAGAAATGGGCTTCACACATTGTACCCATGTCGGGAATCGAACCCGGATCTTCGGCGTGACGAGCGAACGCTTTAACCACTAGGCTACCCGACCGCCCCCTAGCTGAAGTCACACCGTTGAAGTGCCTGCGCCACAGGTATGGAGTTGTGGCCGTTGGAGACGGCGCACATGCTCCTGACACGCCTCCAATCAATCTCAACGAACTAGGTGCTGACGCTTGTACAGATAGTTTGGACCTGATATACCTTTGGTTAAATGCTTGTACAAACTGGTTGTCGGACAGTGTTGGGTTTCTGAAACGATTTAAAACAAATTCCAGGCACTTTGGACACAATTCTAAACATATTTCTTTACAGTGTATGCACGTTCACATTTTCGTAAAGGAATAAGATAAACAGATAGTCGTCATAAATTTTGAAACTTGTGTTTCTGATTTTACTCTGTGAAATGTGTTACTTAAATATTGCGCGAAATTGCGCGTTTTGCGCTGCTCCGTTTTAACTTGTATCCGTGGGTGTGGCACCAAATACAGAACATCGCCGAATGCAGCCGAGTTCGGTATTGACGGCTAGAATGCGTAGGTCGAAAATTATGCCAAACCAAGTTTGACAATGAAATTGCATAAATATTTTGTACTTATTTCATCAAATTATATTATTTTAGAGGGTCACAAACAATGAAGTAAACGTGTGATGATGTTGACGTCCTAATTTCAATCAGCTGACATAGAATCTTTTACTGGTAATATTCATTTGATATTATTTTGGTTAAAGAATGAAAATTAAAACATTTCCATGCAATGGCTTTGAAAAATGTTGTTGTTTTATGTGGATTTGAAATTATAGATGTAGCTTTTAACTGTTGTTGTTGCCGCTTAGGCAGTCAAAGATTTACGACAGTCTCATGGATTGCTAGACGGAATAGGCGGGCGGACGATGGATGGGGACCGCAAAAGCAGGTCCGATTAAACTGGCGTTTCAAGGAAGCTTAAATTGATTCAAACTCACTTAATAAACTGTTCTAAAATTTCTCTTGTCATATCTCTCATGGTATATTGTTATCGAGTGAACTACGAAACACTGTCTGCAGCTCTAAACCTGCAAATATATATGTTTCTAGCTGTTAGCGATAGCAACGCCTGCATTTGGTAATTCTTCTCGATACAAAAATAAAATATGCCAACTTCACCTGATTATATTAAATGTTCAATGACTATGTACATGTCGCTCGGACTCTTGAACAATGTATCCTTAAAAGTGAGTGAGTGAGTGAGTGGGTTGGGTTTAACACCGCTTTTAACAGTATTCCAGTTATATCGCGGCCTGTCAGCTTAATGTGGGAGGAAATTCCCAAGTGATGCACGTCTAACGTTTACCACTTCGGTGAAACCCACGAGCACGGGAATGGTGCTGAGAAACATAACCGGGATTCGAACCAACAATCATAGGTTTCACGCGTAACTCTGCACAGCGAATCGCGGCGCCTTAGACGACTGGGCCATCCGTGCCCCCATATCCTTAAAAGTCTATACATGAATGTTCACTGTCACTAAATACTGGTTAACAATCTCGACCTACCTTCAACAGGCAATTTTGTTCCAACAGTGAAGTCAGCAATATTAACAATCAAAAACACAACATCCAATATCGAAGCCTGAAGCTTCGGCTTGTCTACATCTGGTAACTGATGTTAGGAGCTCGCTTTTATTACTCTTAATATTTACTCATCCATTAAATATTCCTACGCGCGAACGTATAAGGCAGTGAACAGCACAAAAAATAATTCGTTGACAATGCACAACTTATAGAGTTGTAGCATTATAAAAAAAAGAAAATTAATGGAACATATATTTCTTTGGATTCAAATGGCATTTGAAATAGAACAAGATTATGATAGATGTTGTTTGGCCATTGTGAAAGTAGTCCCTAAACAGACTACAATTTTGCCTTTTGCTTTTTGATCATGTAGGTTGTTGTTTTAGCGCCTTCTTGTACAGTTTGTCTGTGGTGTTATTGTGGGTGTTCGCGTTTTTTGTTTTGTTTTTTTGTTGTTGTTTTTTTAAATTGTATGCGTGGAAAGCTACACAGAGGAAGAAACCGCCTTTTGTGAAAAGTTCAGACCTGGAGGCCAAAGGGTGGTACCCAGTTTGTCTCAAAGTTGACATGGAATTGAGATTTCTACTGTATGTACTGCCTTGTTATGGACCAAAACATCGTGAGCAACCTCCTACAAATTGGGATCAGAACTTAAATATCACAATGGATGCTGTCGAGAAATGGGCAAACAGAGAAGATAAATCTGTTGAATGTCTTATCGAGTAGGTTAAGTCGGTTGTAGTGTTGCCATTGGTTGAATGCGCAAACCGAAAGGGAGGAGACAGATTTGGAATAAACTCATTCTGTCCCAATCTGGCTGCCCTACATGATCAGTTTATAGTTGTTCGCACTGACAGGCCTCAAAAAGCATAACCATTATTTGGAAGCATTACTCCAGTATTGCTTGATCAAAGATCAAGGTATAAGCGACATATCATATGATGCCACATCAATGGCCAGTATGTTAACTGATGAAGAAATCTACACATGACCTGACCTGAAGACTTTCTACTGGATTCCAAACCTTCATGAACATCCGCACAAAGTTCTCCTAAGAGTCAACGAACTCTTAACGTATAGGAAAACTCCCCAGATCGTCGCCATTGCAAAGCTGCATCTTACCTGTCGCCAAGTATCGCAAAGTAATGATTACTTTCAGTTCAGCGTCTAGCGACATATTTCGTTTCGTAGGGCTTTGCAACTGATTCCTTACAAGATTTGTCACAAAGTTTATGCCGGCACGATTGAGTCTGTATCTGTCAATAAGTTCATAATCAGTAAGGTCATTTAACACATCTTTTCGAGCTCGAAATATACGGTTTCTACGATGTCGCAGCTGCACGGCGGCGGCCATATTGGAACTCTAAGAGTTTACCTGAGTAGATAAAGAGTGCCAATGACCACTCTTAAAGGAGGAGTAACTTTTAGGAGTTAGGAGTAACTCTTAGGAGTTAGGAGTAACTTTTAGGAGTTAGGAGTGAACTCTTAGGAGTTTTGGCAGTTAGGAGTAAATTTCCAACTCTAAGAGTTTTTATAAATACGGGTCCTGGATCCAGCGACTCTTGCTCGAAACATTTTCAAAAAGCATTAAAGCTCGACAATATTTCAGTTCCATGTATGCTAGGCTCAAAACATATTGTGATACCCCTCGCATAATAAGTACCACATTTCACAGATTTCAGTGAGTGAATAATTGATGAAACAATACTAGCGTGAGCAACAGCTGGAAATCTCTGGTAGGTATCCCTACTACAATTGAGAGTGTTTTGTAGAGAGAGAAAAGAAAACCCAACGTGTGATAATATTTTGAAGGGGGTGAATATGAAACTAGATAATTACGATTTTTGAAATAGTATTATTACATTTCACGATAATAAAACACCACACCTGTTGGATCTGCAAATGTATTTGAATAATAGAACAAAATATATGTGTGAATAAATGCAATATTGTAATAGGCAAGAACACGTGACATGCATCATGATCAACGGAAACTCAAACTTCATGATGATTAAGTGAGTTTTCATGAATATTGCACCCAGATATAATCATCATATTTAAACACCATATAGGATCATATCAAACTACCATATGGCAAATAGACCAGGCCTTTAGACACGGGGAGTTATTACAATCACAATATGCTATGGCTGTGTGATAAATAACTGAGTACGGGTCGTGTTAATATCTGCGCGTTTTCAATATTAACAAGAGTTTGCCACTAACGTGGCTATATCCCCCGCCCCTGTTGCAGAATTTATGACATAATTAAATCTAAACAAACCCTAACCTCTTTTAACCGAGGTGGAACATGTCATGGAAATTGTGAAAAAAAGAAGAGTTTGAAACCTAAGTCCATCTTGTTGCCATGGAAACGTAAAAAATAAACATTTCTAAAATGTCTTAATAGCAAAAGGCACCAGTTCAGCATGTACCTGACAAACCTGCAAAGTGTCATGAAAAAATATTGAACGGTTTATGAGTTATGCTCCGGAAACGAACCCTGTCCTCACAGAACCTAAGTCCATCTTGTTGCCATGGAAACGTAAAAAATATAAATTTCTAAGATTTTCCCAAAGTTGGGCGGGGGATAAAAACACATGTCGTGTGAACACACAATGCCATTCAGAAAGTGGTCAAATGTAAACGAATCTTATATTTGGGATAACACATTCTTAGTGAAGTACATTTTCCAGTACTGTTTTGGTTGAGTCCCATCCGGGATTCGAACCCAGAGTGAGGCACCTAATCGCCAGCACAAAAAGACAGCGATCTAACCAACTCAGCCACCGAGGCTTCCACGAAAAGGAAAGTCCGACAACTGGTAGTCTAGATCACATACTTTGTGTACCACCCTGACAAATGTACATAGGCACGGCTCTCATGGCCGAAAGCGATGAACACACAATGCACCGCAGTGTGGGTTCGAATCCCGGATGGGGCTCAAACCAAAAGTGTGGTTGAAGGTTTGTTGTTTTACGCCGCACTCAGCAATATTCCAGCTGTATGACGGCGGTCTGTAAATAATCGAGTCTGGACCAGACAATCCAGTGATTAATATCATGAGCATCGATCCACGCAACTGGGATCGATGACATGCATCAACCAAGTCAGCGAGCCTGACCACCCGATCCCGTTAGTCGCCAACAGAAGCCGAAAATGATTGTTAAAATACGTCCAGAAGAATCTTTTTTTTAGAATATGCATTTGAAAAAAATATTTTTATTGGTTTGTAACTTCAACTGATTTTTCCTAAGAAAGCTGAGCATCATAAATCCTTATTTTTCTGTCAGTTTGCCTCATAGTCATGAATCGTAAAACGAATGAATAAAGCGTGTAGGTTAACACACGCAAAGTGACACATGATGCAGTTGGGATAACACTTTCTTAGTAAAGTACAGGTTCTAGAACTCTTTGGGTTTGAGATCCGTGAAGATCCGGGGTAGAATAGGTCTTCAGCAACCCATGCTTGCCGTAAAAGGCGACTATGCTTGTCGTTAAAGGCTGGTCAGACTCGCTGACTTGGTTGATGCATGTCATCGATCCCAGTTGCGTGGATCGATGCGTATCCCAATTGCGTGGATCGATGCTCATGATGTCAATCACTGGATTGTTAAACAAAAAAAACAAAAAAACAATACTATTGGTCAACATAGTGAATACAACTTTTACAAACATTCTTTTGTGTGGTGACATTTATACTACTGGTAACATCTCTGTTGGTAATCAGTTTATATACTGAGTCAAATTAAAAACTTCACATCTTTAAAAGTAATCCCATATATGATATACAACGGACAAATGTATCAGAGAAGGTAATTTTTAATCATTAATGTCCAAAGAAGGATTTTATTAACGGTGGTAACCATAATTTGTTCCAAGCACCTACGGTAATCGGTAATAACATCAACAGTTTAAATCATAAGTCCCAAGCACGAGAATCTGATGGCACACAAGTTCAGTAGCGTGTATGGCCACCATGTGCGTTGACAACTGCCACACAACGCCTCCGCATGGACCTTGTGATGCTTGTGAACACATGATTGGGCAGACGACGCCATTGTTGCTGCAAAATGGTGCCAAATTCTTGAAAATTCTGTGGTTGGTTCTAGAGAGTGCGCAGACTTCTGCCAAGAGCATCCCAGACGTGTTCGATGGGATTGAGGTCGCCAGTCCATGACGTTGACTCCCGCATTCTGAAGGAAATTCCTTGTCAAAATTGCTGTGTGGGGTCTGGCATTGTCGGGTTGGAAGATCAAACCGGGTCCATGTGCTGCCATAAAAGGCAGAAGTTCTGGTGCCAGTACCTGGTCGCGGTAAGCAGCAGCGTTGAGGTTGCCACGGATGACAAGAAGCCTGGCACGTGCATTGCCACAGAAAGCACCCCACACCATGACACTTCCGCCTCGAAATCTGTCAACTTACTGTACACAACACTGGGCGAAACGTTCATGACGGCGCCTCCACACCCTCGCCCTACCATCCGCAAATCGAAGATCAAATCGGTATTCATCACTGAAGACGGCTTTATTCCAATTCCTCTGAGTCCATCGTAAGTGTCGCTGTGCCCACAATTGACGTTAACGTCTGTGTAATTGAGTCAGAATCGGCCCGCAGTATGGCCGTCGTGCTTGAAGGTGAGCAGTTCTCAGACGGTTTCGAACAGTTTGCGCACTCAATCTACCCCTAAACAGTTCATTTCTGGTTGATGTAGCCGTCAAAAATCGATTACGGAGGTGACGTAAGACAATCTGACGATCCTCTGCATGTGATGTCACACGAGGTCGACCTGGCCGAGGGCGATCAGCGGTGGTACCCGTTTGCTGTAGACGCGTCTGTAAATCATAAACAGTCCGTCGACTACAACCCATCGTCCTTGCGACTTCAGCTACGGACGTTCCCGTCTGCAACATGCCGATGGCACGTTGCACATTTGAAAGGCGTGGCATGACAAATGGCCGTAAAGACTTTTGTTTTCTTGTGTTTTTCTTTTGTGTTAATGACTGCTAACAAGTATGGCTGAAAACACGTCCGGTATTATGGCCACGTGACCAGTTGCACGTGAAAAACCACTTTTGCC